AGATTGACTTCACCGAATCGTAGTTTGGTAAGTGTAACTAGTATCTGTGATTTCTAAATCATTTCTAAATCATATACTGCATTTTGTTTCATCTTGGAAATCATTGAAATATGGTTGTGGTTTTGTTGAATTTTGCTGCGTGTAGTATAGAAAGCTGTGACTGAATTTATCATAAATGGCACCACCCAATCCGAAAGTTAAAGCGGCTTTTTGCGCAATGACGATCCTTGGCATTCGACCACACTGTCTTGTTCTTCAACTCTCACAGGTTCAATGTTTTCTTTACTGTTCCATCTCTTTAACTTTCGTTCTTGTTTTCACTTCAATTTTTTCACTCTCCGTTACGTTTTTCGTTCTCCGACGATTACTTTACGTTTTTCTTTTGTCCTTGAATGTTTATAGGTTTCAATTGTTGCATTAATCTTTGCCGTTAAGATCACCGTTCAAGAATCAAGATTGACTTCAGCCGAATCTAAGTTCGGTAAGAGTAGCTGGTATTTGTGATTTCTAAATCATATACTACATTTTGTTTCATCTTGGAAATCATTGAAATATGATTGTGGTTTTGTTGATTTTTGTAGCGTGATCATAAATGACACCACCCAATCCTAAAGTTAAAGCAGTTTTCCGCACGATGACGAACCTTGGCATTCATGAATCCAAAGTGAAATCAGTGTTAAAGAAACTGATAGAATTGTATGAAGGAAACTGGGAGCTTATTGAAGCAGATAACTACACTGCTCTTGTAGATGTTATTTTCGATGTGGAAGATAATCAACAGGAAGATAATCAGGTGTATCCTATTCCTGCATTAACACTTATTTGTTTTGGGTCTATTCTATGAAATTTACTCTCATTTCACATGCACAATGCTTGTTCATTGTTATTATATAAGAATGTCGCTGTTGTCTGTGTTTCTTTCTTACTGTTAATTCTCTAGCTGCTGAAATGAATTATGGTTTTTCAATTATGCCTTAAAATATGGAAAAAGAGCTCTTTGTAGACTTTAGTTAGGGGAGGCTCACACTGCTCTTTAAAGACTTAACAACTTAACACATAGGATACACTGCATATGCTAATAAGCACACCATAGTGTGGAAATGAAAACAAGTTCCTGTGCCCGAAACTGGAGGAACAAGTTCCTGTGCCCGAAACTGGAGGAACAGTAGATGTCTTCACCATTAGTACCAGGTTGGACTCATTACAAGTGAGATCCCGTCAGGGGAAAAGGTGGAACATCTAGCAAAATTGTGTATAATAAAAAGTTCCTGTGCCCGAAACTGGAGGAACAAGTTCCTGTGCCCGAAACTGGAGGAACAAGTTCCTGTGCCCGAAACTGGAGGAACAGTAGATGTCTTCACCATTAGTACCAGGTTGGACTCATTACAAGTGAGATCCCGTCAGGGGAAAAGGTGGAACATCTAGCAAAATTGTGTAAAATAAAAAGTTCCTGTGCCCGAAACTGGAGGAACAAGTTCCTGTGCCCGAAACTGGAGGAACAGTAGATGTCTTCACCATTAGTACCAGGTTGGACTCATTACAAGTGAGATCCCGTCAGGGGAAAAGGTGGAACATCTAGCAAAATTGTGTATAATAAAAAGTTCCTGTGCCCGAAACTGGAGGAACAAGTTCCTGTGCCCGAAACTGGAGGAACAGTAGATGTTTTCACCATTAGTACCAGGTTGGACTCATTACAAGTGAGATCCCGTCAGGGGAAAAGGTGGAACATCTAGCAAAATTGTGTATAATAAAAAGTTCCTGTGCCCGAAACTGGAGGAACAAGTTCCTGTGCCCGAAACTGGAGGAACAGTAGATGTCTTCACCATTAGTACCAGGTTGGACTCATTACAAGTGAGATCCCGTCAGGGGAAAAGGTGGAACATCTAGCAAAATTGTGAACAATAATAAATGCATGTGCAATCCTAAATATTCAATGAACAAAAAGTCTATAACAGAGCAGTTAAACCCCCCTTCTAAAACTAAAAGATAAACTCTTGGACCATAGGACGAGGCAGCCAAAGTTAAATTTAGGCTAGCTATCTTAATTGAAGAGTATTAATGTGATAGGTAACTGAAAAGTATTTGTTACTTTCCCTTTTTGATGTCCTAGCTTCAGGAACAAAAGGATGATTTGGGCACTTCGGAACTGTCATCCATCTTCACCTGGCTTATTACTTTGGAAGACTGGTGTTCTTTAGACACTTTGGAAAATTTCAAGATGATTTCTAGATGGTGAGTGTATTGCACTCTGAAAATCTTTGTTTCATGTAGCTAATTTTGTTAGTTGTCCGGATTAGGAATTTCAAGTTTTTTTTTTGTTTTGATTTTTGTCTAATTGTGAATCTTTGTTTCTTGTAGCTAACTTGCTGCTGGGTTATCAGTATATGGATTGGTGGGCTGATTGAGCTTTCAGTTTAAGACACTGGTTTTTACTTTGTTTTCAGATAAGTAGGCCTGAGGAATGGGAGAAAGCCCCTGATCCAAAGAAATATTTTGTTCAATTCTTTGGCACCAAAGAGATGTAAGCCTCTCTTACCTGATTTCTCTTGTAACTAACATGTTGCCAAGTTATCGGGGAATGACGGGGATGCATCTTTTATAATTTGTGATCAAAATTAGGGACTGTTGTGTGGAGTTAGTAAGGAGGATTACACTTTAGTGTAAACCGATCGGTAGCTTGGATGCGGATAAAATGTACTGATGACTTATGTAGGGGTTTCGAATATTATCTCAGTGATTACTGATTGGCCTTATGTTCAGAGTCTTTGGCCGGACGGTTGTTGATGTTGTGGTTTGCGGGATAGTTGCATTTGACACACCTACTGATAAAAAGTTATAGAGTATAATATAAATGTTTTAGTGTTTTTAGAATGGCATCCTTAATGTTGAAACTGAATGACAAGCTTCCAATTGTGTTTATTATATGATTATATAAATTCTGGGTTCTATATCTGCATGTTCTTCTAGGTTAATACAAATAGTTGTTTCCATTAGTTACTTGTAGTATATATTGAATTAGATACATGGTATGTATAAGAAAATGTAGTTTGATGAACCCTTTTAAAAAGGTAGTGTGAATGAACACTTCTGAAGTAAAAACAATAAACACAATTGGAAGCTTCATTAGTTTGGATGTGGATAAAATGTCCTGATGAGTTATTTTGGGGTAATTATGTTTATTATATGATTATATAATTATATGATTAGTCTTTTATCCTGAACTTATTTTAGGATGCAATGCAAAGGAAAGCTCTTGCTTCTGCAGCAGCTGCTGCTTCATTAGAAGAGGCCAATGCTACTGAATGCATAATAAGAAATTTAAGGTAATGACTACCCTTTGGCCAGATGTTACTGATTAGTAGTTTGGATGTGGATAAAATGTCCTGATGAGTTATGTAGGGGTAATTATGTTTATTTTATGATTATTTAAATTATATAATTCTGCATTCTATTTCTGCATGTTCTTCTAGGTTAATAAAATATTTGTTTCCACTAGTTACTTGTAGCATATAACCGAATCTTCAGTTTATTGATGGCATTACCAACTTATCTAAAATTTCAAATCATTAGGAGAAGGGCCAAAAATGGTTATGAATTTATAGTTACTTGTAGTATGCTGATTGAATACCTTGTTGCATGTTTGACTAGAAAACTGAGGTAAATCTCTTTAGGGTATGTTTGGGAGGGAGGTTTAATCCTCAAATATTGGTTTTTATGTTGTGTTTTGATTTTATTGAATCTTAAAGATGTCCTGATGTTTGGTCTTTCATGTGTTTGATTGTTGTGTCATTAGAATTTTGTATACTTCAATATAAAATGATTGTTTTTTAATGACACAGATTGCTTCAGATGGACTCAAACATAGAGTGTTTGAGGTTTCTTTGGCTGATCTCCAAGGGGATGAAGATCACACTTTCAGGAAGATTAGGCTAATCTCTGGCTGATCTCCAAGGCGAAAGCCACTGATCTGATTGAACAGTGAGATGTTAGGGGACTATTTCCATTCCTTTTCTAATTTTATGATGATTGTACAACAACATTTACTTGTTTGGAATTGCAGAGGTGAGCCAACAAAAGTTTTTTTAGGTATTGTAAACAGTACACTAGTATTCACAAGCCTAAGCTGATTGCCATCATGGAAACTCGTTGTGACCAGTCCAAGCTCCAAAAATCTCTTCTCAAATTGGGTTTTGATGGCTTTTGCTCTAATGAAAATCAATTTATGCAGGAGGCATTGCTATTGCTTGGATGGAGGAAGACATTAATGTAACTGTTATTCATAAAAAGTTTCAGTATATTCACCTCAAGATCCAACCTAAGCATGGTGCAACTTGGTGGTTTACTACTGTTTATGCTAGTCCTAATATAGAAAATAGAAGGATTATGTGGAATGACTTGTGTGAAATCAGCCTTACTGTGAGAGAGTCCTGGCTGGTGGCTGGGAGATTTCAACGACATTGCATTTGCTCATGAAAAGAAGGGTGAAGGTTGATTTAGCCATTCAAATATTGTTGTTTGTTGACGAACTAAGGTAGATTTAGGAGTGTTTTCACAGATTTTCTTTTTCGATACTTTTCAGAACCGATTCATTTCTTGTTTAGTTTGTTTTTTTTAAGAAAAAAAATTAAGAATCTGTGTCGGTGTGTTCCCCCTGAGTTAGCTAGCAAACCATACACAACAATAATGAAAAAACGAAAATTCACATGCCTCAAGGATTTTAGGAGTGTTGTGTGGCTTGTGTTGTTTTGTGTTTTGTTACCGAGTTTTGATTCATGTTAATAGGACTGTTTGCTGCTGGACATGAAGCTACAGCAACTGGGATCATGTGGACTATCATATACCTTACAAACCATCCACATTTCCTCAAAAAGCCAAGGTATATTCAGTATTTTTTTTTATCTGTTATTATTTGAGATTTTGATGTTGCTTTGTCCTAAAAAAAAAGAGAAATTTCATGTATATCTATATTATAGGAATTTTCATTAGAAGAAGTATCTAGTATGAAGCAACCCGTTGAGCTGTTGAAAGAAGTGAAGAAGGTTTCTTTTACAGCTATTGTCCATATTTTTATGGGCTCTTGTAATCATAACGTTGTTAAAAAGATTGAAAGTTTATTTGAGGATTTGATGAATGGCTTGAACTCTCTTCCCATTAATGTTCCTGGTTTTACTTTTCACAAAGCACTCAAGGTATTAAACACTTTATAGTCTTTCATCTCAAACTATGTGTTTACTATTAAGTCAACTCAGTTGATAGTAGTCGGAGAGCTTCGGATGCGAAACTGCAACGTTTTAAATATTTATGTTTGCATGATATTATTGTAGGCACAAGAGAAGATAGTGAAAATATTAGAACCTGCTGTGAGTGAAAGGAGGATGAAGATAAAAAATAGGCAACATATGGGAGAGAAAAAGGATTTTATGGATATTCTATTAGACATGAAAGATGTGAATGGTAGAAAAATGAAGGACGGAGATATTAGTGATTTGTTAATAGGACTATTAGCTGCTGGACATGAATCTACAACAACTGGGATCATGTGGACTATCATATACCTTACAAACCATCCACATTTTCTCAAAAAAGTCAAGGTGGTATATTCACTATTTTTTTATCTGTTTTTATTTGAGATTTTGATGTTGCTTTGTCCTAAAAAAAAAGAGAAATTTCATGTATACTTGTATTCATTGCATTAGATATTACAATTAGAAATTTTGTGTTAGATAAAACGATGGGTGCTTTGATTTGCTACAAAACGAGGGACAAGACATGACAATTTTTTTATACTCTGTTTGATTATTTATGTTTATTTAGACTCCAGAGGCTTTGTTGGAGTAACAGAGCGTGCTCGTTATTTTGGTCGCATGCTTAGGTATTGATTGTTGTCTGATTTGTAATATGTAACTTGGAAACATGTAAGATCTTTATATGTAATTACATCACTTTGATAGTTGATATAATCTGAATATTTTCTTTCATCTAGAAAAAAGATATAATCTTAATCCTGATTGAATATTACTGTTACCCTTTGCAATAGTCATCTGCTAGTCTTATTAAAATGATTGTTTTTTAATGACACAGATTGCTTCAGATGGACTCAAACATAGAGTGTTTGAGGTTTCTCTGGCTGATCTCCGAGGGGATGAAGAACAGGCTTTCAGGAAGATTAGGCTTAGAGCCGAGGATGTTCAAGGGAAGAATGTCATGACAAATTTCTGGGTATGCTACGTTGCTGCATCTATTTTGTATGGTTATTGTTGTTAGGTGTTATTGTTATTAATTTTTTATTTGAATCTTTAGGGGATTAATCTGACCACTGACAAATTGAGGTAGTTGGGGCGTAAGTGGCAAACACTAATTGAACAGTGAGAGAGTTAGAATGAGAATGGTGCGAAAGCCACTGATCTGATTGAACAGTGAGAACTATGGGGACTACTTCCATTTCTTTTCTAATTTTATGATGATTGTACAACATTTTACTTGTTTGGAATTGCAGAGGTGAGCCAAGAAAAGTTTTTTTAGGTATTGTAAACAGTACACTAGTATTCACAAGCCTAAGCTGATTGCCATCATGGAAACTTGTTGTGACCAGTCCAAGCTCCAAAAATCTCTTCTCAAGTTGGGTTTTGATGGCTTTTGCTCTAATGAAAATCAAGTTATGCAGGAGGCATTGCTATTGCTTGGATGGAGGAAGACATTAATGTAACTGTTATTCATAAAAAGTTTCAGTATATTCACCTCAAGATCCAACCTAAGCATGGTGCAATTTGGTGGTTTACTACTGTTTATGCTAGTCCTATTATAGAAAATAGAAGGATTATGTGGAATGACTTGCGTGCAATCAGCCTTACCGTGAGAGAGTCCCGGCTGGTGGCTGGGAGATTTCAACGACATTGCATTTGCTCATGAAAAGAAGGGTGAAGCTGCTGTTTGTCAGAACAGATGCAAGAGATTTCTTGATAGCATGGACGGTTTTTGTCTTATGGATATGGGAGTGGTGAGATCCAGATATACGTGGAAGGGACCGATCTACAACGGAGGCCAGCACATATATATGAGAGATTGGATAGAGTGCTTTGTAATGACAGTTGGAGATTAAAGTTTTCTAATGGCTTTGTAATGACATTGGATTTGCTCATGAAAAGAAGGGTGAAGCTGCTGTTTGTCAGAACAGATGCAAGAGATTTCTTGATAGCATGGACGGTTTTTGTATTATGGATATGGGAGTGTTGAGATCCAGATATACGTGGAAGGGACCGATCTACAACGGAGGCCAGCACATATATGAGAGATTGGATAGAGTGCTTTGTAATGACAGTTGGAGATTAAAGTTTTCTAATGGCTTTGTAATGACATTGCATTTGCTCATGAAAAGAAGGGTGAAGCTGCTGTTTGTCAGAACAGATGCAAGAGATTTCTTGATAGCATGGACGGTTTTTGTCTTATGGATATGGGAGTGGTGAGATCCAGATATACGTGGAAGGGACCGATCTACAACGGAGGCCAGCACATATATGAGAGATTGGATAGAGTGCTTTGTAATGACAGTTGGAGATTACAGTTTTCTAATGGCTTTGTTAAAGTTCTCCCCATAATTGATTACTCAGATCATCATCCTATCATTATTTATGTTAATGGATCTATCCGGAAGCAAACCAAGCCTTGCTTTCGGTTTGAAAGTGCATGGGTGTTGTAAACGTCCTATCACTAAATGATTAAAGAAAATTGGAGCAATGAGCTGACTCTAGCCACAAATCTAGAGAATATAAGGGATGGTGCAGCTAAGTAGAAATTACACACCCTTAACCAAGTTATGAGAAGAAAGAGAGCAATTATGAAAAGACCTGAAGGTATCCAACAGAGATCTCAGCATAGAAGGCACGGTGGAGGCCTGGCTCGAATGGAATATCAGTTGCAACAAGAGATGCATGGTCTTCTACAGAAAGAGGAGTTAATGTGGTTTCAAAGGGTGAGGACCTAATGGCTCACTGACGGAGACGGTAACACCAGTTCTACCATGTGAAGACAGTGCAACACAGAAGAAATAACAAAATAATGATGATTAAAAACAGTGAAGGCCAGTGGGTTGAAGATGAAGGCAAATTCCGCCAAATTTTTCTTGAACATTATAAAACTCTCTTTGCTTTAACTAATGTAGGACAACTGTGGCACCAAACCCCTATCACTTACCCAGCCATAGATCATATTACCAAGGATAAGTTGGAAGCAAGCATAACCAATGAAGAGATCAAGGATGATGTGTTTAGTAAGAAAGTTGTGACTGAATTGATCATAAATGGGCACCACCCAATCCGAAAGTTAAAGCGGCTTTTTGCGCAATGACGATCCTTGGCATTCGACCGCATTGTCTTGTTCTTCAACTCTCACAGGTTTAATGTTTTCTTTACTGTTCCATCTCTTTAACTTTCGTTCTTGTTTTCACTTCAATTTTTTCACTCTCCGTCTCCGAAGATTACTTTACGTTTTTCGTTCTCCGGCGATTACTTTACGTTTTTCTTTTGTCCTTGAATGTTTATAGGTTTCAATTGTTGCATTAATCTTCGCTGTTAAGATCACCGTTCAAGAATCAAGATTGACTTCAGCCGAATCTAAGTTCGGTAAGGGTAACTCGTATTTGTGATTTCTAAATCATATACTACATTTTGTTTCATCTTGGAAATCATTGAAATATGATTGTGGTTTTGTTGAATTTTGTAGCGTGTAGTATATAGAAAGCTGTGACTGATTGATCATAAATGACACCCCACCCAATCCGAAAGTTAAAGCAGTTTTCCGCACGAAGACGAACCTTGGCATTCATGAATCCAAAGTGAAACCAGTGTTAAAGAAACTGATAAAATTGTATGAAGGAAACTGGGAGCTTATTGAAACAGATAATTACACTGCTCTTGTAGATGTTATTTTCGATGTGGAAGATAATCAACAGGAAGATAATCAGGTGTATCCTATTTCTGCATTAACACTTGTTTTGGGTCTATTCTATGAAATTTACTCTCATTTCACATGCACAATGCTTGTTCATTGTTATTATATAAGAATGTCGCTGTTGTCTGTGTTTCTTTCTTACTGTTAATTCTCTAGCTGCTGAAATGAATTATTGACATGAAGCTACATTATAGGAACTGGGATCATGAAGCTACAGCAATTGGGATCATGTACCTTACAAACCATCCACATTTCCTCAAAAAAGCCAAGGTATATTCACTATTTTTTAATCTGTTTTTATTTGAGATTTTGATGTTGCTTTGTCCTAAAAAAGAAGAGAAATTTCATGTATATCTATATTATAGGAATTTTCATTAGAAGAAGTATCTAGTATGAAGCATCCCGTTGAGCTGTTGAAAGAAGTGAAGAAGGTTTCTTTTACAGCTATTGTCCATGTTTTTATGTGCTCTTGTAATCATAACGTTGTTAAAAAGATTGAAAGTTTATTTGAGGATTTGGTGAATGGCTTGAACTCTCTTCCCATTAATGTTCCTGGTTTTACTTTTCACCAAGCACTCAAGGTATTAAACACTTTATAGTCTTTCATCTCAAAGTATGTGTTTACTATTAAGTCAACTCAGTTGATAGTAGTCGGAGAGCTTCGGATGCGAAACTGCGGCGTTTTAAATATTTATGTTTGCATGATATTATTGTAGGCACAAGAGAAGATAGTGAAAATATTAGAACCTGTTGTGAGTGAAAGGAGGATGAAGATAAAAAATAGGCAACATATGGGAGAGAAAAAGGATTTTATGGATATTCTATTAGATATGAAAGATGTGAATGGTAGAAAAATGAAGGACGGAGATATTAGTGATTTATTAATAGGACTATTAGCTGCTGGACATGAATCTACAGCAACTGGGATCATGTGGACTATCATATACCTTACAAACCATCCACATTTCCTCAAAAAAGTCAAGGTATATTCACTATTTTTTTATCTGTTTTTATTTGAGATTTTGATGTTGCTTTGTCCTAAAAAAAAAAGAGAAATTTCATGTATACTTGTATTCATTGCATTAGATATTACAATTAGAAATTTTGTGTTAGATAAAACGATGGGTGCTTTGATTTGCTACAAAACGAGGGACAAGACATGACAATTTTTTTATACTCTGTTTGATTATTTATGTTTATTTAGACTCCAGAGGCTTTGTTGGAGTAACAGAGCGTGCTCGTTATTTTGGTCGCATGCTTAGGTATTGATTGTTGTCTGATTTGTAATATGTAACTTGGAAACATGTAAGATCTTTATATGTAATTACATCACTTTGATAGTTGATATAATCTGAATATTTTCTTTCATCTAGAAAAAAGATATAATCTTAATCCTGATTGAATATTACTGTTACCCTTTGCAATAGTCATCTGCAAGTCTTGTTAACATCACTTTGATAGTTGATATAATCTGAATATTTTCTTTCATCTAGAAAAAAGATATAATCTTAATCCTGATTGAATATTACTGTTACCCTTTGCAATAGTCATCTGCAAGTCTTGTTAACATCACTTTGATAGTTGATATAATCTGAATATTTTCTTTCATCTAGAAAAAAGATATAATCTTAATCCTGATTGAATATTACTGTTACCCTTTGCAATAGTCATCTGCAAGTCTTGTTAACATCACTTTGATAGTTGATATAATCTGAATATTTTCTTTCATCTAGAAAAAAGATATAATCTTAATCCTGATTGAATATTACTGTTATCCTTTGCAATAGTCATCTGCAAGTCTTATTATGTGTTACAATTCAGTAAGACACTGACAAATACAAAGGAGTTTTCAATGAAGGCAATTGCCCACCCCAAAATTGTAATTACAATCCCTTAATCACTGCATTCGTTGCAATGTGTCTTGATTTTTCAGCATTTCATGATGTTTTTCCTTCATCTTCGTTTTCCTCAGTTTTGCTCGCCAGTGTGCCTAACTTTGGTTGAAGACCAGGGAGATGCATGGCTACCCCCTTAGTTTCATCTCCGAACCTGATCATTCTGTAATGCTAAAGGATGTTTTGGAGGCCACATGTGAAAAGGTTAGTTTTCATATATGGGTCACTTCGATGCTGCAAATGTTTTGGAAATGATATTGCTGCTTTTCTTAAACAATTTTATCTCAATTTTATCTTGATTCATTCATAATCTTCCATATTTTTGGTCAAGTGTCATAAAAAATTTGATTAAGACTGCAATTACAATCCCTTAATCACTACATGCAAGTTGGAATTTTATTCTGAGTCTTTATGACAATTTGGTTTGGAGTTCACTCCTTGCATGCACTCTTAATCAAATTTTTGCACAAAATTTGCATTAGGTTTATTTCCACTAGAAACAATCTTTGCATTTTCACATTAAAACTTGAGATTTTAATCCTCGTTATGAATCAATTATTAGAGTATTGATAAAAGAGCCCTAATGTAATATAACTAAAATTAGTCAAGGTTTAGTTAGGATTCTGTTACAATGTAGTAACAGAATCAGTTTGGAGTTACTTACCAAGGGGTGTTATATATGCACCTTAATCATAATTGTTGTAACTAACTAATCATAATGAAATAACTATCTCTCTCTCTCTCTCTCTCTCTCTCTCTCTCTCTCTCTCTCATTATATTATTGTTACAATAGTCTTTATTAGGGTGTATATATACAACAACCCTTGGAACTAACTTCTAACAGATTCTGTTACATTCTGCACGGTATTTTTCTTATTTGTTTTTCCGAAGATGCAGTTTTGGATATGATGAAGAATGTATCTAGAGGATAATCAATGTTGAAATTTATTTTCCAGCCTTTGTCAGCTAATGGATATTTTAATGTCCAGTCAATTGAAGACCAATTAGTTTTACTAGATTTTTTCTTGTATTCAACTTTGCATATTAAAATAGATGGCCTTAATCAACAATAGTTGCCATCCGATTTATGGTGCAAAAAAAAAAGAGGTTTTGATTCCCAAAGAGAAAGGATTAGAGTATTACTATCAATGAGTGTATGTCCTTAGAGGTGAGGGTATGCGGCACAGTTATGTATGTTTTCAGGTTGTTTGATTTTTAGAATGATGACCACTTTAATATGTAAGGTGATTTAAGCGTCAAAATCATAGTTATGCAAGTGGATGGTAGTAGCTGGCTGATTAGTGATATTAGAAAGCAAATAATCGGCATGTTTGTTGAGTTACCGAACATCGATAAGTAGTCCAGTTTGATGTAGCTAACTGGGACCATGCATTCCTGTTTGTTTGTATGAGGTCAGTAGAATGTTTGTGAGACTTTTGCTTAGAACTTTCTCCTTGACAAAGAAGATATCCAACTCCATGTGCTTAGTCCTGGAATGCAGAACTAGATTATGAGCCAAGGAGAGAACACTGAGGTTATCACATAAAATCCTAAAGACCTGATGCTTGATCTTGAGCTTAAGAAGAGGAGATTGAAGCCACAAAATCTCAGCTGTAGCATGAGCAAGACTTCTATCTTCTGCTTCAGCACTGGATCTGACAACTTGTGTTTGTTTCTTTGCCTACCAAGAGACAAGATTAGGGCCTAAAAATAGACATGCTCCTTAAGTAGACCTCCTATTATCAAAATTAAATGCACAACTACCATCACTGAAACCTATGATTGTAATGGGAGTACTGAGATTGGCTGGAGCAAGTAAAAGACCATGACTGGAGGTGCCCTGCAAGTATCTCAAAATTCTCTTAATTGCCTTCCAATGATCCTCTAAAGGATTAGATAGAAACTGGCAGACATTGTTAACAACATAGGAAATTTCAGATCTTGTAACTCTAGCATATTGTAGAGCTCCTACCACAGACCTGAAGTAAGTTGGATCACTCACTTGAGCTGAGCCAACTTTAGAAAGTTTGGTGCTTGAGGCTATACGAGAGGCAATTCCCTTGGCTGCCATCATGTTAGTTCTATGCCAAGAAAGTAGTCCAGCTGATCCAGATCTTTTAGAGAAAATGAAAGATTAAGCTTGGACACCAAAGTGTGTATGAACTGCTGTGAGGAGCCAATGATGGTTATATCATCCACATACACTAAGACAAGTGTGTAACACACAGTAGAATGCAAGATGAATAAGGAAGGATCACACTTGCTGGCTATAAAACCAAGAGAAAGAATAACACCTTTGAGTCTTTCAAACCAAGCTTTAGGAGCCTGCTTAAGGCCATAAAGAGCCTTGTGCAACTTGAAAACCAAGCCTGAGTCACTTAACACAAAACCAAGGGGTTGTACCATATAGACTTCTTCATTAAGAATGCCATTTAAAAAGGCATTATTAACATCGAACTGTTGGATAGCCCATTTTTGAGAAATAGAAAGTTAAGACAACCCTGACAGTAATTGGTTTTACTACAGGTGAGTATGCCTCAGTGTAGTCAAAACCTTCAATTTGATGGAACTTTTTAGCAACCAACTTGGCCTTGTACTTGTTAACAGAGACATCTGGATTTTCTTTTACTTTAAAAACACACTTACAACTAATAGGTTTTCTGTGAGTTGGAGTAGGAGCAAGAGTCCAAGTGTTGTTTTTCAACAATGTCTCGTATTCAGATTTCATAGCAGCAAACCACTCGGGAGTAGCCATAGCTTGCTTATAGGATGTTGGTTCAAGATGTGTTAGAAGAAGGGTAGGGTGTATCCTGGGTTGAACAATACCATTTTTGGCCCTGGTAACCATAGGATGTATATTTTAAGGGTGTATGCAGGGTATGGGTGAGAGGGTAGATGGCAAGGGTGTACACTTGATTATTTGAATTTAATTGACATTCATTTACTTATTCAAATCATGAAATTTAAGGTTTATTAATGGCATTGATCATGAACAATTTGTAACGACCTTGTAGTTTCATTTGAAGAATGAAGATGGAGGGTGGGGGCTTCACATTGAGGGTCATAGCACCGTGATTTGTACTGTACTCAACTATAAATGTATGTGGATTCTTGGTGAAGGGCCTGATGGTGGTCAAGACAATGCTTGTAAGAAATTGGATTCATCAACACGATGATGTCACATATATACCTTCGTGGGGGAAAACTTGACTTTCGGTATCATTCTTTTCTATGCAATATAAAAATTTATAACTAACATAAATTTGTATGTTAGTGATAAAAATGTATCTTTTATTTATAGATACTTGCGTATTTGATTGCATGGGAAATAATCCTATGCCCCCTGAATTTTGGGTCTTACCTTCATTTCTTCCTATACACCCAAGTTTAATTTATTGATCTCGTTGTGCTATAATATATATGATCCTATTTATGTCTCACAGGAAGATATTTACTATGTGCAAGAGTGAGAACCATTATATTTAGTTAATGAGAGTGTGTGAATTTACGTCACCTTTTTAACATGGGTGGGGGATTATGATCATATTTATGTCTCATAGGAAGATGTCTCCTTTTTAACATGGGTGTGGGATTATGATCATATTTATGTCTCATGAGAAGATATTTACTATTGACTCGTTGGCCTTTCAACAAATTGGTCAGAAAAAGAGCCCTTGAAGTAACAATGAAGCTGTTGGTTTTATTATAGCAGAGAGATTGAGAAAATGAGAATTTACTGTATTTTTACTCATGACAGTCAAAACACTTATAGTGTTTACAAAACTAAAACTAACCACCACCATATTAGGAACATGGGGTAACTGACTAGACTTCCTCCTAAAGTTTAGGATGTACTAATTGACTAAAACAAAACTGAAACAATAATGATAAATAAAAAAACTTTAACGCAGTCTAAAAGCAAATAATTTACACTCCTCCTTGCTAGAGGATTTGCAAACTCCAATTTTCTGCCTCAATAGATCAAACTTGCTAACAGTAAGTGGCTTTGTGAACAAATCTGTCCATTGATCTTCTGACCTGCAATAAACCAAAGTCAATTCTCCATTTTGCTGCATCTCTCTTAAGAAGTAGAGCTTGATGTTAAAATGTTTAGTCTTGCCATGACACACTAGATCCTTTGAAATTGCAATTGCTGTCTGGTTGCCGATAAACACTTCTGTCTTATGATTCTGTTGGAGATGTAAGTCACATAAGATCTTTTTCAGCCACAAAACTTGATTTACGGTTGCTGTTGCTGCTATGAATTCAGATTCTGCAGTGGATTGTGCTATTGTCTCCTGCTTCTTTGTGCACCATGAAAAAACTCCTGAGCCTAGACTGAAACAATATCCTGAAGTGCTCTTCATGTCATCAACGGATCCAGCCCAGTCACTATCAGAGAATCCACATAACTTGAAATTTTGACAGCTCTCAACTTGACACCATAATCAACAATACCTTTAATATATCTCAATACCCTTCTTGTTGCCTTTAAATGCATTTCACTAGCACAATGCATAAATCGAGAGAGAAGACTTGCAACAAACAGGATGGCCGGCCTTGTTGCAGTGAGATATATTAAACATCCAATCAAGCTCCTGTAATAGCCTTCATCAACTTTGTCAACACCATCTTCCGTGCTCAGCTTCTCCTTTTGGTTCATTGGTGAACTAACTGCTTTGCATTCCTCCATTTGAAATTTTTTAAAGATTTTCTTAGCATATATTTTTTTACATATGAACACATCATCCTCATTTTGTTTGATCTCAATTCCAAGAAAATAAGACATAAGACCAAGATCTGTAATTTCAAAAACTTGCATCATTTCTTGAGCACACATTTGACTGTGTCATGCTAAAGTTTGCAGGAGCAGGAGGATATCCATAGGAGTCCTGACTGTGACGATAATAGCAATAGCTAGCATCATGGCCAGACTTTTGGCAGATCTGACACTGAACTGCACCTCTGTAGCCATGGCGTGCAACACCAAGACCACGAAATCTACCACCACGTGGTCCTCTGCCATGAAAATTATTGTGACGTCCACCAAAACCAGCATCATACTAATTTGAGTCATGAGGTTCAGCAGGACTAGGAAGATTAGGTTTAGAGCTTCCTTGAGTGAGATTGACAGAAGCAA